GTCCTGATAAACTGAGCCGATATTTGAGGTTTACACAGCTACATTCTCGCCTGAAAATATGTTAAACGTTTATTTTGTGACCCAGAAAGAATAATAAGAGTAATATTAAAACTAACTAGCTACCGCCATTGTTGGAAACTAAGCTGGGCCGCGCTATGAATTCTGGGACACAGCTGCTTCTTCTTCTTCGGGGTTTAACGGCAGCTGGCATCCTTGTACATGCTGTGCTGCCATCTTCTGTTTCAGTCCGTTATTACACTCTTAAATCCTGCTATTATTCCTGCGTCTTTTGCGATCTTACAAAGCTTCAAACGACACGTCGACTATTAAATCAGTCGTCGACGATTTTGATAGTCGACGTAATCGTGACTAGTCGACAAATCGTGGCAGCCCTACTAAAAAGCAATATAAGTGATAAATATTACCATTCTGTGTAACCACACCAGCCCAGGACCTCCACATCCAGCAGGTTCACCTCCAAGATCGTCTGAGACCAGCCACCCAGACAGCTGCTGGAACAATTTGTTTGCACAACCAAACAATTTCTGCACAAACTGTCAGAAACCGTCTCAGGGACGCTCAACTGCATGCCCGTCGTCCTCATCGGGGTCTTGACCTGACTCCAGCTCGTCGCCGTAACAGACATGTGTGGGCAAATGCTCACATTCGATGGCGTCTGGCACGTTGGAGAGGTGTGCGCTTCACGGATGAATCATGGTTCACATTGTTCAGGGCAGATGGCAGCTGAGAATGTCCCAGTTCTTGCATGGCCAGCATACTCACCGGACATGTCACCCATTGAGCATGTTCGGGATGTGCTTGACCGGCGTATACGACAGCGTGTACCAGTTCCCACGAATATCCAACAACCTCGCACAGCCATTGAAGTGGAGTGGACCAACATTCCACAGGCCACAATTGACAATCTGATAGACTCCATGCGACGATGTGTTGCACTGCATGAGGCAAATGATGGTCACACCAGATACTGACCGGTTCTGGGTCCCCAGACCCCCAATTAGGGCTGCCACGATTAGTCGACTAGTCACGATTACGTCGACTATCAAAATTGTCGACGACTAATTTAATAGTCGACGTGTCGTTTGAAGCTTTGTAAGATCCCAAAAGACGCAGGAATAAGTAGTAGTATTTAAGAGTGTAATAACGGACTGAAACAGAAAATGGCAGCACTGCATGTTCAAGGATGCCAGCTGCCGTTAAACTCCGAAGAAGAAGAAGCAGTGTCCCAGAATTCATAGCGCGGCCCTGCTCAATTTTCAACAATGGCGGCAGCTGGTTAGTTTTAATATTACTCTTATTATTCTTTCTGGGTCACAAAATAAACGTTTAACATATTTTCAGGCGAGAATGTAGCTGTGTAAGCCTCAAATATCTGCTCAGTTTATCAAGACACCACATATTTTCAAAAGCGCTCCGACGTTTTCGGAGACGTCTGTTACCCACTAGCTCGATAGCTAGCAGGGGGCAAGGCTCACTAGAGCCGGTGAGAGCACATACCTTAAACTTGAAGCTGTAAGCTAATGGTAGTTATATAAGAGCAGATGCTGCTGGTGCAATAAGCTGTACGTTTTACATCCAATTGATGCACGATCTGATAAGTCGACTAATCGCAAAAATAATCGGTGACTAGTCGACTATCAAAATAATCGTTTGTGGCAGCCCTACCCCCAATAGCGCAAAAAACTGCACATTCCAGGGTGGCCTTTTGTTGTGGGCAGTCTGAGGTACACCTGTGCACTACTCATGATGTCAGATCAGCATCCTGATGTGGCACACCTGTGAGGTGGGATGGATTATCTCAATATAGCAGATGTGCCCACTACCACACATTTGGACTGATTTGTGACCACTGTTTGGGAGGGATGGTTATATTGTGTATCTGGAATGAATTTTAGGTCTCTACGTCCATCCCATGGGGAATGGGAGCAGTAACAAAGGTGTTGCGTTTATATTTTTGTTGAGTGTAATAAATTTACCCTACCGCCTACTGGTGTTGGCCAGAGGGGCCGATGGCGCGATATGGCAGCCTCGCTTCTGTCAGTCTGCCCCAGGGCAGCTGTGGCTACAACCGTAGCTGCTTCCACCAGTGTGTGAATGTGAGAGTGAATGAATAGTGGCATTGTAAAGCGCTTTGGGTGCCTTGAAAAGCACTATATAAATCCAATCCATTGTTGTTATTATTAACAATAATATTATTATTATTATTATTATTATTATTATTATTATTATTATTATTATTATTATTATTATTATTATTAAATTACTTACGAGTTTAATTTGTCAGCAACTTTCTGCCAGCCCTCTCTCCTTGCTTTTGCAGCCTTTGCAGTGTTCCCTTGCGTTTTAATTAAACTCTGAAACTCCTGAAATCCCTCAATCAAGAGTTCTTGCTCTGCTGCTGAAAAATACCGAGCGCGCTCCTTCGACATTTTCGCCGACCAATCAAAGGGTTGCCGATCAAGGTTTCTACTATCGATGCGTAGCCCCTGTTAAGCCACCCAGTGATCTCACATTACTTCATCCAGCTATACTAATCGTCAACAACAGGTGTGTTCGGAGAACCGGAATAGCGAGCTCAAAGTTATCCAAGATCAAATCATCGCGCTGTGTCATTTGATCTTGGATGTAGTAAGCGAGGTACGAAGAACGGACCCCTGGAAAAAGAGTATTGTTGGTAGTGATCATGTCAAGGCTACAGAACACTCAAGCCTTCCCACTCCACACAACATCACCATATACAAGTTGCCTTTATATTTTGACGGTACCTGGAGTATCGGCTAGTGATGTGCGGATCGATACTGAAATATCGATTCCTCCGATACCAATCATTTATGTTCTAGAATCGATTCTCACATTAAAATATCGATATTTTAGTAATTTAGGGTAAATTTGTAGTTTACCATTAACAGGAACACAGTGGAAAGAAACTATTTCATTCGGTTGTCTACAATTGGAAGGAACTACTTCCTCGTCCACCTTTCATAGTCATGTGCGAAATATGGCTGTATAAATGTGGCAGGCCCTTGGCTTGCGCACTCACAGTGGCTGAGCGTAATTGGAGTCATGTGCGGACGTATTTTACATCCACAAACAGCCGAGACATGGTTTGAGATACATGTGGCAAGAAAGTGAGGTGTTGTGGCAACACCACAAATTTGTCAAACACCTCAGAGTAAATCATATCTCAGAATATGACGAGCGTATGTTAAGGCGAACTGAAGAGGAGGAGTGGACAGGGACAGGTGCTGCTAGGGCGAGACAGACGTCTCTCACGGAGTCCTTTAGTGCTGCAGGCAGGCAAGGTGTTCAAATAGCTCACGACTTCAGGTTTTTTATTTCTGTATGATGAATTCTGCATTATTAAGTGATAAGAACAAGTAATCTGATGTCCTGTAATCATTATGAAACTATAATTTGAGATACAATAAATAAAATACGTTTTGTACAAGGCATCGTATCGGATCAGTATCGCCGATACCACCCTCAATATTACTTGGTATCAGATCGGAAAGGAAATCAGTGGTATCGCACATCACTAGTATCGGCCTGTGTTTACTTGGTATCAGGTCAATACAGAAAAAATAATTATGGCAAAGCACAGCAAACCTCATCATCAAATGTTCTTGCTCTGTGGTGACTGGTTATCTGAAGAGGTTAGAAAATAATGCATGTTTAGCAGTTAATATCCTGAGAAAGGTAGCTGGGGTTAACTTGTGCAAACACGAATTTTATTTTTAATGTAATCTTACGAACAACATTTATTTCCCTCCACAGAGCAATAGTGAATGATCAGGGGTTTGCCATCAGTGATCAGAGAGTGGCTCGGAGACCATAAAACATCATTTTCAGACATTGACTGGCTGCCAGAGTCCACACTTCGGGATGTGCTGGAGATGTTAGAGCTGGTCCGACACTCCCCTTATGCTGGGCTTACACTGTGCGATTTTTGGCCCATTTTGAGCCGATTTGAGTCGTGCGACCGTTTTGGCGATCGGCCCGATTTTGGCCTTCATCGTCCGTCGTGCATCGTGTAGTATACGTGGGGTAACGAGAAGCGATTAACACCTCACGACCAGCTCCCGATCACCAATCGCTTGGAGACCGTCGTGAGGGTGTCACCGCAGCTTCTCACACTGCGAACGCGCAAACACAAATGTCAGCGAAAAAGACTGCGCAGCACAGCGGTGCAGCGTGTGATCTGGACACAAGCGATGGAGGCACAACTTGTAGAACTATGGCAAGCTCATCCGAGCCTTTTCGATGTGGCTTCACAAAATTATCACAACAACCGTGAAAATAGTTGGATTTACATTGCTGCTCAATCCCAGCTGCCTGATCAGTGTTTTTCCATTAGCAATTTAGCAAAGTTGATGGTGGTGGTGCGCGTGTCTGTGTGAGTGAAAGACAGAGAGGGAGAGCGAGCGACAGAAATTCTGTTATAACCTTCCTTTTATGGACGCACAGTGTGAGCACTCAGGTCGCATCCGAGCATAGTATAGTGCGAGACCCTGCATCGTGACCTACCAACTTCTAACCCCTGCGAGTCAATCGTGCAGTTTGAGCAGAAGCTGAATAACGCGACTGAAAAAAAGAAAAAAAAATCGCACAGTGTAAGCCCAGCATTAGCGAAACGTTAACGCGACGCTGGATGCAGTATATTCAGACAGTCAGCCGACTTTACATTTTAGGTACATAACGCTGCTGAATGTAGCCCTCCAGCTAAACTGGCGGCTCTCCCGACGCTTAAAAAGGTTGTGCCTTTATTTTCAATGCAAGGCTTACATTTGTGCTTTACTCTTTCTTAAAATCGTAAAACTCAGTAACATCCGGTTTTAACGCTGATCAGTAACGTCGGATGTTAATATTAAAATTTAATGTAGTCTATTATGCTCATCCACAGCTTCACTCATGTGTGCAGGCAGCGTGCACTACACAACATCTGTACTGTACTTGAGTATTTGAGCAACTGAGAAACTTACTTTTTCACGAATTCTGGCTGAGCCGCAGCGGTTTCAAATAGTCCGCATCCTCTTGGATAAAACAGCTTCTCTTTGTGGAAGTGGCGTGATTTCATCCATATCACATCCGGGTTTAATAAGGGAAAGTTTTAGTCCTTCTCCTGGGGTTGGTTAAACGCCATGGAGATTCAACTCTTTCACCTCGCGCTAACGCCCTCTGCTTATGAGTGTCGGCGGGTCGGAGACGTCATCGAAGGAGGCGGACCCCGACGAACACGTGTGGCTTCACAAAACAGGACCACGACTCATCTTCGCCCAGAGGAAGTACGAATGTTCGAGTTCCCAGTCGGAATTTGAATCTTTCCCACTCGGAAAGTCGATGCAGTCCCAGCAACAGTGCTGTGCCAAAATTAAGATTTTGGAGCCCATACCAAATACAGGGCCAGTATTATACCCGTACCCATACTTTTAACCTATAAAGGCAGTTTATGTAGGGGAGAGCATGATTGTAGTGATTTATGATATATTTAGTGATTTTCCACAATAATTAGTTAATACAACTAAACGCACCTTTCAGCTTTTCATGCATTTTGAAACTGTTTTTTTTTTCTGGAAACCTTAAACGTAAACGTGTCTAAGGGACCGAGCTCTAATTCTCCAGAGAATCTCATTCTTCGAAGCACCACCCAGAGCTTGTGACCAAAGGGACAAAGCAAATCAATTCAAGAGCTTCTGGGTTAGCTCTTCCTTCACATCAGACTGGTACAGTGTCCACATCACTGCAGAAACTACACAAATCTGTCAGTCACCTGCACTCTCCCCTTACGCACACGTACAACGACTAACAAGAGCTAAACACACACTGCAGCCACTTGTAGCACACAGATTTGCCTCATGCTCTCCTCAGGGAGAAACAAACAGTTGCTACATCTTGATGCATGCTCAATCATCCAGGTAAAGAAATCCCAAAAAGTTGATTCTGTTCATCTGGACGTAACGTTTTTTTCAATGGAAGAAACATTTCATCAGTTTCTTCATCATTATTATGCAAATTGTTCTGACCATTGGTCAACGACCATGAGTACAGCTCACAGAAAGTTGGGGAATGGTTGAAACCACATCATCGTAAGATGGTGATTTGCAGCCGTTTAGAGAGTTTTTCCCTTTTCATGTAAATGGCCCTCGGATTTGAGCAGGAAGTCAAGGAGGCCGTTAACATGAAAATGAAAAAAAACCCCACCTCTGAATCGAGGAGGGGGACTAAGGGTCCATCTTTTTACATCTTACAATGCATCATTGCAGACTGAACAAAAACTGCAAATGCAGAAGCAGGAAGTGAAAATTAACCACAACCTTACTACTTCCACAAGAATAATAGCAGGGGATATCCAGGGGGGATAATAGCAGCCAGGTGCTGCTAATAAAATCAACTTGATTAAGTGAGTGCCAACAAGTGTGACCAGAAAAACAACGGTTTTGGCAGTTTGCTGGTCTGGAGAATTCAAATGGGTTAAGCAAAATGTGAACAACTATAAGGCCATTTCCAAACAATTTGAAGTTTGTCATTCTATTGTAAGAAATATTATTCTCATGTGGAAAATAGTAGTTGCCATTTTTATCAAGAGTGAGCATGCTAGCAAATTCTTCCCAAGATTAAACCGATCAATACTCAGAGAAACGACAAAAGTCCAAGTGCTGCATCTTGGAACATTCAGCCATCATTTAGCATGTTCAAGATCATAACATTAAAATTAGCAAAAGGCTTAACTGGTGTGTGGATGTTTTGAGAAAAAGTCTCTTTTCTAAAAGATTTTTCTTTGAACAATGTTGAGTCAAAAATTCTGAAATTTTGTTCACTTCTTAAATGAAATTTAAAAAACAAATACTGAAAAAAAAATGCCACATGAGAAGAGGAGAGTTTGTAACTGATCAGTCTATTGAACCTCTACAAATAGTCAAAAGCAAAAATCACATCTTTCATTTGAGGTTTCATTTATTTATTGTCCCAATATGCAGAATATTAGAATTTCACATATTCTCCTGCATGCTTTCGATGGGTGAAAGACACAGAGGCGGCAAGATGCATATTCAAAATCCAGGGGCGTAGATTTGGCATGGACGGAAGGGACATGTCCCCACCAATATCCAGCGATTATTGAATTGTCCCCACCAATAATTTGATCTCTTTGAGTAAAGAAAACAAACCCGATAGAAAGAAAAAAAACGATCTGTCAACGTCTCATTCACCCAGCGGTGCAGAAAGAGTTAAATTACGTTCTCTACTGGAGTCCTACCTCATGTGACAAATATGGCCAATGTGATTGGCTGTGCTTTTTAGGGAGTTCTGTTTAGTTTTAGCAGCGGCAAGCCTGCGCTGCCAGGAGGAGAGGAGGATGGCAGCAACAAGGAAGAACCTGGCTATAAGAAAGTATTTTTCAAAGAAACCTGTAAGTCACTTAAAGTCAAGTTCACTCATAAAATGTGTCCGTCATAATAACGTTACAGGCTATGCTAGGCTTTGGCCCACATCAGTCTAAAATTGTATGTAACCATGAATAACGTGTTTTGGAAACTAACTGCACAACAGGCAGCACTATCAGTTCTCTAAGTCTCAGAGCAGCATTTCTAATTTTGATTGAAACTGTCAGAGAAAACTGCAGACTCGAGTAAGCCAGGATATTAGTTTACAGAGGCTGTTAGAATTATGTCTAACGTTAAAATGTTGGTGACACAATAATTTCGTCCTAATGGCACTGACATATTCATAGGGTTAATTTTTGAGACAAAATATCATGAGGTAGTCATGATTTTGCAAATATTCCACCTTGTTTTAAAAATGCACTCACCCTACAAACATTACTGATGAGTCAAGATCTGCACAAACTGACAGAAACACTGAAGCAGCTACACATTTTATTCTTATTGTCATGTATGTCCTATTTGTCAGGTGACAGAGGCAGCTCTGCCATGTTGTAGCTCAGAGGTGAAGAGGCGAGGTCACAGGTGACTGACTGATGATTTGGTGCTATAGATTAACTAGTATTTATCATCATAACAATTGTTAGGCTGCTGATGCAAATTGATTCGTTAGTGTATATTTGACAAAGAATCTGAATTGACATGTCTCACTTTTTATATGGCATGAATCAATGTATTATTTTATCAGGTAGCAATATGTCCTAGTGCAGGGGAAGAGCCAGGGCCAAAGCTGAGGCACATCAAGCACATAGTAATAATTTTAATCTGAGGATAAAACGCAGGTACTTAGGATGAAAGATACTTCAGTGCTCTCAGGAGACTAAAAAGATGGCTACGGTCAACAATGACTCAAATGAAATTAAACAATGCTGCTGTGTGTCCACCAGGAGAGACTGGACAGTATAGATGTAAAACAAACATGCCAGCAGTTTATCTCAGTTAACGAGAGGAGCAGGCATGTGTTCGGCTCCTTCACATAGTGGACATTGAAGTAATGATGTTAAGTGCTTAAAGTCATTTTCTTTTATTGTCATGACTGTATTTGAAGCTATTTTTATTTTTGTATGATACCTGATTTATATGGAATGTGGAAGTAAACTAAAGCCTAAAATACTTTAGTCAGTCATTTGTTTAATAGTAATTTAACATTATATAATTCGCATATAAAACTATGAATTGTAATTTTAAATGGTTTTAAAGCATGCAGAATAGCATATGTAGGCAAGTATATTTCTCTTTTTTTTTTCTTTTCTTTTTTTTATCAAGAAGCAAAGACAAAAAAAAAAAAAAAAAAAAAAAAAAAAGGCAGGGTTCGATGGTAGAATCATCCGTCCCCACCAATGCCAAAACCAAATCTACGCCCTTGTCAAAATCCCAACAATTTAGAAGCTACGGTATATGCAAGATGCTGTAAGCCTACAAAAATCTTTGATGAGCAGTGTGAAACCACCTCATCTTTAGTGATGGGGTTATTTCCAGCGTGCTCCATATTCTGATTAACCAAATGCACCTTTTTAGATGTTAAAGATGCAGCAACCCTGTTCCCAGACAGGGCAGCAAATGCTGTCTCTGCTCAACCATAAATTCCCCCAAACCCTGCCCCCAAACAAATGTGCTGAGCAATAAAAAGGTTTCTGGTGGAGTCTGGAGAAGGCTTCAGTGTAGTGGGGGCGTTGCAACTTTAAACTGTATAAACACTGGAATGATGGCTTAAACAGTTTAATTCCACCAAGACCCAAGAATGACCTCCATGTTTAAACTTAGTGACAGGATGGATATGAAACATGCAGAGGAACCCCTCCCTCTACCCAATAAGCTGGTTGTCAGTTTGATTTGAATGAAGTTGGATGAAGAAACTGTGTTTTCCTCTTCTTTTGGAGACATTGTCATATGCTTAAATGCATGTAGAAATATATGTTATGACCTATTTGCTTCCATAGTTTGTTATAACCTCAAAATGAACACTGTACCTCCCACACACACGCACACACCTATAAAATGCAGAACTATATCTTTCCATATCATAAATCTGTAGCCAAACCAGAGGTGGGGGAAATAGTGCCTTTGTCTTACTTAAAATTATGTTTTAAAGACTAAAATAATACTATTTTTACGATCAACAATATATTAAAATCACACACTGCTTTTAAAGCTTTGATTTGTATTTTTTTTTAACATTTGTGATTTTATTGCAAGCTGTCATGTTAAAATCTAGTTTTGTCCACCTGTAAGATTTATATTGCCCTGAACTCTCAAGATAATGATAAAAAATCATTTTAATGTGGTTATTCATGCCTTAATTAGAAATAAAGGGTTAAATAAATTGAAGCCACATCCAGAATAAAAAAATGTGATGATAAAGGAACACAGAACCCACTGTGGGATAACCTATGATGTAAATGCTCTGTATATTATCAGTAGTAATATACCTACACTACAAGGCTGAAAACTGATTAGATTAATGTCTGATGATCTTTTGTGCTTCTTCAAGAGAGAGATACTCCCATACAGCTTATGACAAAATTTAATCCGAAGTGATTGATGGCCCTAATCATGACCTTTTGACCTCCCCCCTCCCCCCCGGAAGTGTGTAATTTGATCCCCTAAGCGTGTCGAATTGCATCCGGAGAAGGGAGGGGGGAAACCTCCGGAAGCGCGCCATCTGTTGTTGGGAAAAAAAAAAGTTTTTAGAGGGAGGGAGTGCAGCAGGGGAGGAGAATAAA